CATTCCCCCCCCCCCCCGGGACATCAAGGTATTTAACTTGGGAAGAGTTGGAAAAACCAACACATTAAAGAATTACGGAGGAAATTGGTTCCACAGATTAACCAAATGTGTAAGGACAGTACAGACACCAGCATCAAGTTAATGAATTTCATTTGATAATCCTAACTTGGCTAAGCTAATAAATAAAGTTAAGTCAAACAACTGAATTTGATAATCCTAACTTTGCTATTACAGCCTAGATCATGAAGCATTTGAAAATGAAAAATTAAAAAAACGAGAACCCAAAAACATAAGCAAAAGATCAACAATATACAAGGAAGAAAATGATTTCATTATATATAGGACAGTGCTGATGTCAATTCCCAAAGTTTAGATACCAAAGTTGGCAATTTATTGGTAATGAATTAGACTAATTTTGATGATTCTCGTTCTGCCAGCACTATCTGACTCAACAGTTTGACAAATCAATTGCAAAAGTTGCTCAAATTGTTAAAGTTAAAGCATAGTCTTGTGTACGATTAATATTCATCTGATAAGCTTTCTTAGCCATTGCGTACAAAATGCCTACCCATCAGCTCAAAAAAAGCCACTCATGACAGATCTTCATAAAATTAAATAGTTCCAACATATGCACTACAGACAGATAGGCAGTAGTAGCATACTAACCAACTCCATCCAGGCGATATCTGAATCATAATAGTCATTTGAAAGAAAAGCATCAGCCTTGCTATAAAGAAGTCTCTTTAAACTGAAAAGCAGAGCAACTTACTAAGTCAACCTGTATTCAACATAATTAAATACCTAAAACAAATTGAATACCTAGATGAGCTGGTCATATCTCCTGCTTTACGGAGCAAGGTGGCTGCTTCAGCAAGAAGAGAGTTGTACTCTTGAGAATAAGGAACCACATACAGATCTTGAGGAGAGCTAGTGACATTTCCCATTTTGTGGGATATTGAATCTTCAGACAATGATTCACTATGCCTTCTAATAACATTAAAAAAGCCCATTGCTTCTTCCTGTTTATCTTGTTGAAGACTATCTTTCCATAAGTTGAATTCCTAAAAAAAGAAAAAGGCTTAGATAATGTGCAAAGACTATTTACAGCAAATCACAAAGTGATTACCATGGTAATACCATTTTGTCCATATCTGGTGGATAAAAATTTGCACCAGGAGGTTTCACAGCAGGAAATGCTGTTCTATATTCAAAACCCTTCCAGCCTGGTACAGGCTTTGTTGCCTTCGGAAGAAGCTTGATAGCTGAATCTGCAGTCGTCAAAAAAGCCTCATTTTCATCCAGGCAAGACCTAACAATGTAAGAGTGAGCTCAGAAAATTCCAATCAATAGTTTTTCGGAAACTAAAAACAATAAAGAAACTAAATTGTCTTAAGCTACTATGTTTTTGGTGTATTCAGTTACACTCAAATGATACCATCTCCATAATTGATGTACTAGACTCAATTTAGGAAATGATAGTAGGATTGAAGTACATTTGTAAATATTGAGCAGTACAGTTATAGTACTGTCTTTTGAGGAATATACAAAGTTACCAGTTTCAAAAAAGAAATATAAAAGAACTTTCCGTTTGCATTCAAAGCAGGGGATTAAGATACAGAAACAAATAGTGCAGCCTCAAGTGCAATGGTGGGGGAAACCTTAGGCGAATCCCAAATTTTTGAGATGATAAACCTCAGTAAGGACACTGAGTCCTAAAGAGTTTTTTTTCTGGGGGAGGGGGGGGGAGAGGTATGTAACACCCTAGGCAAATCTCACATCAGCAAAACCAGGGAGATGTTGGATTTAAGGAAGCAAGCTTCTAGGACAACTTCCCCTGTGAAAGTATAAACTAGTGACTAAGACAGACCTATGTTGCTCGGATGCGGGTGTGAGCGCCCAACACAGGTGCGGATCGGATTCGTCATCACCTAATTCTTAGGATGCTGAGATAGGGATAGAGAGTATGGGCAAATATAGACACAAAAACACAAAGAGGAAGAAAGATTGAAGAAGGAGCATAGTTTTTCATAAGGGGAACATACCATGGACTTTTGTTAATTACATAGTACATCCATTTCAACTTGTCCAACTGTGATTTGTCCGCATTCTCCTTTAGCCAGTCTCTCAAAGATGGATTGCTATACCAAACCTATGTTATGGAATAAAAAAAAGAAGAGCATATCAATAGGAGAAATTCAAAAGAGGTTCTCTATGAGCCACTGCAAGCACTGATAACATCACATAAATAAAACTAGCTAGTCATATTTCTCAGCATGGAATTTATAAAGGATCATTTCATCTAGGTTGAAAGAACATAACACGGGGCTGGGAGTTAAGAAAACCAAAATAAGTGGTTTGCATTTCTCTCCTCCAAACCTAAAATTGGAAGAAAGGAAATTTCATATTCTCTTGGATATAATATTACAAGTTGTGAAGGCACCTTAAAAATGTAAGGCATCATTTAATTACATGCCACATTTACATAGCCTAGGACTCTTATATAAGAAGCTCCACTTGTACAATGTTAATCATCAACCCAACAAGTTTTCTCCTTTTATAGCCGCTACAATCTTCATAAAGACGTAACTAACTTCTTGTCTACTCAAGAAGTACAATTCTTTTCACAATATTATGGTCCTTTTTACAATACATTGCTAGTTGTACCCCCTCCTCCTGCACCCATTTTTAGATAAGGTATATAAAATTATTGACGTTGAAAGAGAACTCCTGTATACAAGCAATATCCCAAAGAAAATACAGAACCTACATCAATTTCTTTGAAATGAATCAAAGTCAAATGTTACTAATTTCTTTGAAATGAATCAACAATAACAACGTGGTAACACATGAAACTCCCGTGGCTCATGTCAAAGAAAAGTCAAAAGTAGACTACTTCCATAGAAATGCATCAGCAATAACACTTGGTAACACATGGTTTTGAACTAGTCTAATGCACCAGATTAAAAAAACTTTGTTCAATTTTAATGTTTCTAAGATTTACAGGATCTTCAATAAATGGCTAAACATATATATTTTGACCCTAACTTGAGAATTGACTGAACACTTCCATCGAAAAAACACGAGCCTATCTCTGACTTACACAACCAAATCCCATCCTTCAAATTCATTTTGATGTGCATCATACAAACTTGGGAATGTTTAAGCACATTCTTTCCATATTGAATATGACAACATGCATTATAAGTGATGTCAGTGATGATAATGCCATCTACTATAGCTGTGTCCTCAAGATTTGACATCACCGCTGACAACCCCGCACCAAAATGGGGAAAAAAAAAAAGAATTGGACTTCTTGCTCCATCAAAAAATAAGACCTATGGCAGAAACTAAAGACAAACTTAATTGCAGAAACATAGCAGACTACTTGCTTATCTAAACTAATATGCACTCAGTCAAAAATACATCAGAATTTGAACTCTCACTAAAAGACACTGTGATTATACCTGCACATAAAAGATTTTGTCCATGATTGTTGCAGCTTTAACAAGTAGTTTTAGAGCTTCTTTGTCTGCTGCAGTCAGACCAGTCAACTGTACAAAAAAACCTGGCATCAGAAACCCCCATTTAAGAGAAGTCATAACTGTTTCCCTAACTTAATTTTGTCTGTGTCTAAATTGTGTAATTCTGACACACAGAAACACATAGAAGATAGATGATAATCCTGCATAAGACCAAAGCAGCAGTATTTCGTTAACCAGCAGAACCAAAAAAAGAAAGAATAAAAGAAATGACATATATAAAATGATCGTTTCTTTTCTTATTTTTAATTGTTTATAAAGATCATTTCTCTGTTGTGAAATACCAAACAAGATGAGATATCTGTCACATACTCTTGAAGAATATGCAACAGCTGACATCTGACACTTCAGAACTATAGGCAGAGGAAATTAAGATACTGGAGTATAGAGCATCTGTCATAATTAGTGAATTAGTTGTGTGTTTATCTATAAGCACTATATATTTTAGTAATCCTTAAAAGCACTTCTAAGCTAATATAAAGAGAAGTAGGACTATCGCTTCAGTGAGGAGGTGATACCTTAAAGTAGTTTTTTTCTTTTGAGAAGGTTACCTTAAGTAGTTTTAGTGAGAATTCACATCCTTTAATTGATTGGCGATCTGACCCACAGGTTAACATTACGCATTGAACTTTTTAGTTTTGACATTGGCACCCTAGACACCAGTGTTCAGTTTTACTTTTATTGAAAAATCTAAGAAAACACACACACACGAGATAGCAAGAGGTAAATCTGGAGGGTAGAGCATTCTTGCATCAGATTTTGTGATCAAGATTTACTGTAAGAATGATCAACATGATTTAGAATTGAAACCTCTGCAGAGAGGGAAGTACTAGCATAGCGGTTTAGCTGCTTCTCAAGAGCCAAACTTCTAGCTTCAGCATTTTCCTTGTACCTGTAGATATCCCATACCAGCTAGCTCAGGTGCACAAAGTAATAAAGTCAACAAAGACAGGATTAATATGCTATTGATTAAGAAGAAAACAGAAAGTTTCAAGTAGATATTGTTACAGCAAGACAGTTTATGCACAACAAAAAAAGAAAAGAACCAAGTTTGGAACATAGGACGCAAACACAATCTCATGCTTAATTTATGGATAGCTATATACAACTAAAAAACATATAACAGGAAAAGTTTTGAACTAATTGCAGAAACATTGTTGAAGTAGGAAAAAATAAAAATATATTTCAAAGGCTCCTTAAAGGAAGGATAATGCGCTTATATTTAAAGCCCAAGTAACCATTCTATGAGAAGATTCGATTAGTCAGTTACATAACTAAAACTTTTTCTTTGGCTATATAAGGCATACCTCTTCTCAATTATTGTAAAGAGCTGACCATATTCCCCATCCACATCATAAGGAACATACTCAGGATGTTCTTGAGCAAGCACTCTTCTGTACTCCTCAAGAGAGAGATATTTTACAGCTGAAACTTCTGATTCCTACCAAGAAAAGATACGTCAATAGTGAAAATTTTCACTTGGTGCAAAAGAGAAAAAAATTAGCTAAAAAGGGAAGAAGAGAAAAAAGTAGCTACTTATTATTTCAGAGCACTATATGGTTTCAGTACTACCTAAGTACTGTTCCGGATGTAATACGAAGTTACTGTTTATCAACAAAAAAAAATTCAGAGCACTTGTACTCGCAGTCAACAAACAAGCTTTCAGAAGCTTATGGTATCGGAGTTTCAAGGGATAGTGAAACTAATAAAATTATACGGCATTGTACTTCACATTTACAGCATTTGAAGATTCATTCTTTGGACACGGGGTGCAGGAAACATGTAAAACTCATGAAAATTGTTACTTCTACGGGGAGGTTAGATACATGGTAAAGCACCTGACTTCAAGATTCTTCATATGGAAGTAAAAGATGAGTGAGTGGTAGCCTAGAGTGAGAGTCGTGGCAGACCATTATATAGGTGAGAGAACCTATGACTAGCTTAACACAATTAGGCACCGGCAGACTTTGAGAAAGCAAACACATAACATTTATCAATATAATTATTGAGTGGCTCCTCAGTTCAAGTAAAATAAAAAAAATTATTGAGGGCTCCTGAATGGTTGAATAATTCAAGTGGGTGCTTGAATGATTCTAGAGAGCAGACTGAGGAGCAACGCCTGAATGGTTGCTAGAGAGGAGAGATGCATTAGCATGAACAGTCACGGAAGAAAAGAATGTTACAAGAACTGTCGCTCGGAGTTTCTTGTGACTTCCTCCCTAGTCAAGTTTCTTGCACTGATCAGTTTGGATTCCCAAGGAGCAAAAAGATGTATGTTCTTTTACTTGATTGGCAGGGAGAGGAGCAATCTAAACATCTCAGGATTTAAATAAAAAGGGAGGGGAATAGATGTGAACGGTATTTCTGTCCAAAAAGAATCCAGGCAAAGCCGTGGATAATCTCCTACATTATCAGGTGACAACTCATTTATCGTGGAAGATTTTGAGATGGTTCAGGATGCAATGGAAGATGTCAAGCACTCCGAAGGAGGCAGTCTTCAATTACTACTTTATTGCAAAAATCCAAGCAAAGACGTGGATTATCTCCTTTTGCGTTATCAGGTGACAACTCGTTCACCATGGCAGATCTTGAGATGGTTCAGGCTATAATGGACAATGTCAGGCACAGTCAATTAGGCCATTAGAGAAGGAAGAGAAAAAGAAGAAGAATGTGGGATGTTGCCCACTAGCACTCCCCAGTAGGTCTTTCTAAAGGAAAGAAATAAGCGAACTTTTGAAAGGTTAGAAAATGACTGTACATTTGAGGAATAACCTCATTTTTGGTTTTGTTTTCCTTGTGCATCCATGAGGTTTCACTAGTGTTTTGGTAGAGAACCATTTTCTTCTACAGGTTCTACACCTTTTGGTAAACAGCTTGTATATGGGAGACTTTTCCCATCATATAAAATTAGTTGCCTTATCAAAAAAAAAAATTGAGAAGAGTTGCCTTATCAAATTAAATACAAATGACTATAGAATTTTAAGAATTCATCTCCGACACCACTTAAGATAAAATAGAAACTAAAAAAATGTTACACTTAAAGATATTCTAGCCTATTTACATTAATTTCGAAATGGTCCTTTACATTCATTCTTATTGCAGGAATTCTATTTCCAATAAATGAACAATAAACCTAAGGAAAATGAAAATAGCATCGAGAATGACTGGAAAGGTGGAAACACGACCAGAATAAAATTTGATCATTATGAACAAATCAAATTTTTTTATAGATAGAGCCCTCAATGGGAAAATAAAATGCAGCACCTAACAATGCATCTTCACAGACCAAGACTATGAGATCATCCCTTTCATTCTGGGGTGACGGAGGGATTGTACCATTTGAGCCGTTTTTTTCTTGACTTGAAATCGAAATGGGAGCAGATTTGAACAAAGATCTTAGAGTGTCTAGGGTTAGGACAGGAGGGTCTCTGTTTCTTAATGCCTTTTTTTTTCTTCTCATTGGAGTTATTTCACGAAGACTTGCCAGGGTAAGGAAGAAGGGGGGAACAAGCACATTTGGAGAGTACAGTACAACAGAGAGTTGTATGCTGCGTTCGGGAAGGATGAATTGCTCCCGAAAAGGAATCTATTGGTTCTCTCCCAATTGGTTGGACCATAGGTGCGATGATTTACTTCACAGGTGAGGTCTCTGGTTCAAGTCCAGGATGGCCCAGCTTTGCCAGGGAAAAGAATAGAAGAAGCATCTGACTACTTCATGCATGTTCCACTTGGCTCGGGAGATATAGCTCAGTTGGAAGAGCTTCGCTCTTGCAATTGGGTCGTTGCGATTATGGGTAGGATGTCTAATTGTCCAGGCAGTAATGATTGTACCTGAACCGGTGGCTCACTTTTTCTAAGTAATGGAGAAGAGGACTGAAAAGTTACCAAGTGACGAACACATAGTGTTCTCAGGCAAGTACCAGAGCAACTACAAGAACATTTAACTACAAACAAAAATACTGACCTGAAGAGTAAAGGCCTCCAAAGGAATTGGATCTATTGTTGTCACCAGATATACATCATTGTATTCATTGTTGATGAACTTGCCATCATTGATAGTGCTGCAATTTATTGTGACATTCAGCATACTCCAATGACTGACAGAAACTCATGCTCTGAAGCACAATAGCTTGTGAAAATGTTATTGAAGTGATGATTAGACATATTCCAGAGTATCTGTATTGTTTTCCTTTCTTCCTGGTTAGTTATTATATAACTATCACGAAAGTACTTGATTATCAACCAAAAAAAAAAAAGAACTATCAAGAAAGTGCTCCAATTGTTAAAAGTCCACTAAATTGTGTATAGCGTAAAAGCCCTGAAAATTCAGACAAAATGGACAGACATTTGAGAAACATTTGGGAGAAATACTTCAAATATTAGTAATAACTAATAACCACATGTCACATATATGCTTGAGTTAAATCTGCAAAATAGAACTATACTATACTACAGTCTAGTCCATGGGATCAAATAAAACAATCAGAACCAATAACTCATAAGAGACAGATGGACCCCAAATTTAATGACTGAGGTTTTGGTAATTCTAGGCTTCAAACACACAGCCAATAGTACCGCATGCTCTAATCTTTTAGGAGCTAATTAGTAAGACTTTTTCAATAAGAAACTAATGAGATTAACATTTCCTATACTGTAGCTATCAATAGTTTCTTTTCTTTGTTGTCCCACTTCTCTATGCCATCAAGCTCCCTGACAGCTCAAGGTGCATATAAAATAACAAACATCTACTTCAAAACTTATAATTAGGTAATTCAGCTGTATTATTCAATTGCAAAGAAAAATATTGGCATATATAATGAGATCTTATTTATAAGTTGACTGATAAAGGAATAGACATTTGTCCAGAAGAAACAAAAAAAGATAATTCAACAAGGAGGGGAAGCACGAATTCATAGCTCTGAGTCAACAGACAATTGCTACTGCTTAATACTGTATAATAAGAAGACATGAAGAACTAGAGCTTTAGTATACCAACCACTCTTGAAGAAAAACAAATATTAATTCAAATGCATCTTTTGGAAGAGTTACACCAAGTTCTTCTTGAAGCTCTCGCCTGCAAGAATGTATAAGTCAACAACAGTACAAGCCCCATCAGAAAAGCATTTAGAAGTGTGATGTATGCATTCACATGGGAGAGAACATGTAGCATTGCAAGGGAGTGTAACCTTTCACATACAGACAATTATTCATGGGTTAGTCACTGGTAGCGAAAACTCTCTTTACATAAGAAATGTATATTACAGAAAATAAACATATTTAAATATATCTACATAATTACAGAGGTTTAGAAGTTGCAGTTAGTGTTTTTACTTGGACAGTTGAAACCAAATGAAATCGATGATACTTGAATGATCATATGCACTCCAAAATTGTAACAACTGATCATTACTTAAGAAAACAAATAAGCAAGTTGTAGGAGCTGAGCATTTGTGAAGTGTGAAAATTCATCAGCAAAGCTATTTTTGAAACTGTTTTTTTAAAACAAAACAATTCATCAGCAAAGCTATTCCACTTTACGCAGCACATAAAGTGTTTACATAAATTTGCATGACAGCAAACCAGAGGAGTTATTGGTGTGTGATCCATTTCATTATGAATCGTGTCAGATACTGCACTTTTCTCTTTTGAAAATTTAGAGAGAGTGCGTTTTATGATGGTCAAAGGAGTACAAGATAGAGAGAAAACAGTTGTCATTTCAATCATTATAGCGTTAAATTTAGAGAGAGCACGTTTCATGATGGTAAAAGGAGTACAAGATAGAGAGCAAACAGTTGTCATTTCAATCATCATAGTGTTAAATGCTAATAAACCGATCCGCATTCTACATATATTTTTTTCTGATTTTTATGACTTTATCTCAGTAATAATCCCTAAAGGAAAGAAGCTAGAACACAGCCTTATTGAAAATGAAGCATATTGCTGATTGTGTCAGATACATAGAAGGTTGGTTCACGATAGTGGCTTCTTCTTTTTATTTGAGAACGAGAAGGAAGAAAAAGGAAATCCATTGGTAGATGAAAAGGACAGCAACATAAAGAGACAGAAGAATATGGAACTCTGAAATTTCAAGTAGCGCCACGAGACAAAAAAAAATTTGACAAGGTAAATAATTTATTAACAATTATGGAAACACTGGATACAAGTCATATACCAACTACCAGACAATCTATGATCATGGGATAAAAGTTACCAAATAATGATTCAAGAACATACAGAAAACGTTATACTAAGAATTTGCATGAGGACAGATAAAAGCAAAATCAGAAAAATAAGTCCAGTTCATTTGAAATTATATCTAGAAAGCTCAGCTCCATGCTGGAAACCTACATTGCTGAAATAAGAGATGAATCACCAGCAGATATATGACCGGCACTCGAGATATCCCATTGACCAGCCCAGGAATCCTTGCAATCAGCACGTCGCTGGAGAAGTAGTTCTTGTGTACTTTCAGCAAATATCCACACATGAACAGCTCGATGGTAGTCTCCATCTCTGTGAACATCCCCTCTGAACAAGTAGCACAATAATAGACATCATTAGCCCCATAAGTTCATTATTAATAAAGCTTGGAGAAGGTGGAGGATTTGTGGCTTAGGTCGCAGGTTCAAGCCCCACACCATGCAAAGCGAAGCCCGGTATTTAAGTGGAGAAGGGTAGAGGGGCGGGCCCATTATCCACCGAGTTTAGAAGGCTATGATTGATCCAAAGGGTGGGTCACAGACGGATTTCTCGGTTATCAAAAAAAAAAAAAAAGTATTACAAACTGTAATTTTTATGACACGTGATATATTTGGGCAACTATGAGCTTAGATTTGTTAAAATCTGCCAGTCAATTTAATAAATTAACTGTCTAGCCAAGATCCAATTCACTTTTCTACTGTTCATTTATTTGGAAGAAACTATAACAGAGGGAAATCTGCTTTCTGCTACTCCAGTCACAGACCTGCCTTTAACCGATTTCATTATGAGACATAAAAGGGCATCTTAGTATTTCAAAATTGTCTTCAAGCATTAAGTAGAGAGAAGGTATTCTCCTGATTAAAACAGGTTGGAAAAGAAAAGCACTTCAAAGATTCATTAATCATTACTCGTTCTTAAAATAAAATAAAAAAGGAGATTCATTAATCAGTATATGAGGTTCGCATTTCACTCAAAATAAAATCCATAGTATCGTCCCCTTTACATGAATAGCATGCAATAAGCTACTTCTCTGTCTTATATACACCAAAATTTGATCCCTACTACCCAAATAAAATAAAAACATACACAATTCAAGTACTCCATTACTTATGCCAACATCTTACTCAGCTAAACCTTTGCATTCCATTAATCTGACAAACCAATAGACACTACCAAAAGATATTGCTCTTCCCAATCAAGTGGAGTAAAAAAGAACAAGAAAAGAAAAAAGATCAAAAGTCATAACCTTCAACTGGACTACTTTGCCCAAGACAAGAGGGGGTTGCTTGAATGGTAAGCACCCTCCACCTCCAACCCTAAGGTTGGTACCTAAGGAGGGTTAAAAAAAAGACTACTTTGCCCAAAAATATTACAATACATTCAAGCATAAAAGATCAGCCATTCCCCGACCCCACCGGGCTACCCCTATTCAAGCATAAAAGAATAAACTATTTGTTTTATCCCATTGGCAAGAACTCTGAAAAACAGGTGTTTGTGAACTTGCTCATATTGCTAATTCAAAGCATAAAAGATGAGAATAGCAGTAAGTAGGTTGATGGATGAGTAAAACTAGTAAATTTACACTGAATCTCACAATTCTGTAGCCCAACTAGTTTGGATTCAATCATAGTTATGGTAATCAAACTTACACCAAGAAAAAATACTGCAGAAAAAATTAAAATTGATCAATATTCTTCATAACCCATATGAAATTTTCTTTCTTTTTGATGTGGGGTTTTTCACCTGGGTTTAGAGTAGCCAGTTTTTTCTCCAGTTTTTGTAAGGACGTCAAAATACTCTTCTTCCTTCACTTTCGTTTTATCAAATTCAGCAGCCATTGATACTATTTTTTAACTTCCAAACAAACCCACGATTTTGTTTCTTGAAGAAATGCTGGGGTTTTGTTCAATAGAAAAAGTGAAGATAGATTCTGTAATTATTTCTTTTTCTCCCAATTTTTCCCAAACTCCTACTTACGTGTATGACATTTGTTTTATTTAAATATCAATGGTATAGATTTTTAAGTAATCAAGTGTCTTAATCATGGTTAAAAGGATACATATATTCACCATTTAAATCTATCTAATTTAGCTATAAAAGAAATCATGTCACAATTTTTAACACCACAGCTTAAATTATTTCCGTTATCTATAGTTTCTTCATTCATAAAAGAAATGTTTCTTCATAAACTAAATTCTGGCAGTTCAAAATCAATATTTAAATAAGTTATTTTTACGAAGAAAAAAAACATTGTTAATCATTAAATAAAATTACTTAGCATTTAGATATTAAATAAAAAGTATTGAAAATTACTTTGCCATAAATTCACAAAGAAGAATAAAATATTTTTTTGCTAGATAAACTTTTTCAAAAAATAGAAAGATTTAAAAAAAAAATATCTATCGATATTGATCGTAACTCAAATTGTAAATTATAGAAGTCCATTCATTCTCAAAAATTTGGGAAACTGATATATTCTTACCAAAATTGGAAATTTTAAATATTAATATTTCTTATTTTAATCATAGTTAATTTGTATACTTCTATGATTAAGAATACTAATTAATCTAGACCTTTAATATTTAAGCAATATAGGTGTCACTCATCTAAAAAAGAACTTGGGGAAAATGGAGAGAAGAGAAATGGAGAAGAGCCAAATCACTTTACATTCATACCCCACTAAATAATTACACTATATACCTGTAGACATTGAATTTTTATGGGACTCTACAAGACGTATTCAATTCGAATTGAGACTCTAGAAGGTGTGTTCAGTTTCAATTAGAATTCTTAGAAGCTACTCAACCCTAATCCATAGTTGATGCCTATATAAAGGCTACTGAATTCTCTTAAAAAGCATCTTGAAAATTTCATAAAGAGATCGAGACTAAGATATATTCCATAAAAGTCATGGAATATTCATAGAGGTCAAATTTAAATCATCCTAGTTCGAGAAATACGTCACTAACGACCCTCGAATCATGGATAAATCTTATGAGAGTAGAATCAAAGGAGGAACATAATTGTTCTCGCAATCTTTGATAAATAAAATATTATGTTTCTTCAGATTTTATTTGTGTGGTTGATTTATTTTTCATATGTTTAAAATTTGTTGCAAACAAATTGGCATGCCTAGTTGGACCAAATTTGCCCTTCATCTCTTCTCTCTTAAATCAAATCTGAAAATCAGAAGCTGCAAAGGTGGAAGAATGAGTACTTTAAGCCTCGTCTTTGAGTTTCATCGAGTCTACACTCCGACAAGCCATGAAGCAGGGGCATTTGTATACATTGAAATTTTACGGACTCTACAAGACGTGTTCAATTCGAATTGAGACTCTAGAAGATGTGTTCAGTTTCAACTAGAATTCTTGGAGGCTACTCAACCCTAAACCCTAGTTTATGCTTATATAAAGGGTACTAAATTTCCTTAAAAGGCATCTCAAAATATCCCATAAACTCTTAGTTATTTTTAAAGATAAAAAAGATCTCGAATATTCCGCAAATTGATGGAATATTCATATAAAGGTCAAATCTAAAATCATCCTAGTTTGAGAAATACGCCACTAACGGCCCTCAAATCATGGATAAATCTTATGAGAGAAGAATGCTATCTTAATGAATAAAGTTATGTTTCTTCATTTTTTTTGTGATTGTAATTTATTTTCTGTCACTTTAAAATTTGTTGCAAACAATACCCCTTTACTAGTTTCGCTTAACTGATACTAAATCAGTATCATATACTGTATTTGTATCATTAAGGCTGATAATTTCACTTAATTGATACTAAATCAGTATCATATACTATATTTGTATCATTAAAGCTAATAATTTCGCTGAATTGATACTAAATCAATATATATATATATATATATATATATATATATATTCTTATAGTATCATTACTAATGAGTAATTTTTGGACAAGACACCTTAATTTTACCATAAAAAATATAGATACTCTTATAGTATCATTGACTATGATACCACAACAATATACATATATACTCTTATAGTATCATTGACTAATAAGTAATTTCTGAACAAGAAACCTTAATGATATCAATACGATATATATATCAGTTAAGCGAAATTATCAACCTTAATGATACCAATACAATATATGATACCGATTTAGTATCAGTTAAGCGAAAATTATCACCCTTAATGAATGAAGGACATGGACTGTAATTATTTATGAGAGAATGGGTATTTCAGGAATTACTTTGAATTTGGGTATGAACTTGTAATTATTTTGAATTTTATGGCTCATTTATGTAGTTTTCCCTTATTATTTCTACCTCAGTCTAATATTAATTGACCATTATTAAAAATAATTTTCTCAAATTATTTATGATGTAAATAAAATTTTAATTTTTTTCTCATATTACCCTTAAATATATTTTGTAAAATTTTTTAAAAAAAACTCAAGGAATAAATTAATGAAATTATTATTTTTATTTATAATAAAGGTGAATGATTAATATAAAACAGAGTAAATATCTTGCCTATCCTCAGCATTGCATATTCTGTTGGGAAGCAAGTTAATGCAAAACATATGATTTTCATAAGCATATCCCTCACCTAATTAAATTGGAGCTAATTACTCATATATGATCACTTCAACTAAAAAGACTATTTAATAATTTTATTTATTGTAATTTTATTTCACTAAAAAAATCACTCTAATTTATACATTGGCATATGAATAATTAATTCCAATTTAATTGGAAGGGGACAAGAGTTGTAAGAGTTGTGGCAAAGTGAAAAATATTCCTTCATTGTTAACTAAATGTCTCATGTTCAAGTCTTTCTGGGCTCAAAATCGTCTTTGTTAATGAGCGTTTTACCCCTCTGGAACTTCTCAACGTGAATTCGAATTAAGTCGACCCTCAATGTAGGTATCAAATGATAAGACTTGTGTAACAAAAGTCTCGAGTTAACCTTCGAAGAAATAAAGAATATTTTGGTAAGGAGCAATCTCTATCAAATATTTAAGCCGATAAAGGAAAAAGAAAACACTAGTAAATAGACTAACATTTTATCAGCAAAGAACTAACTGCAACAAGAATTTTACATTTCAACTGGTACAATTTGTGTTTCAAAGTATCTTATCCTGCATACCTAGCTTAACTTCAAATTGTGAAAGGGATAAGGAGGGAACTTTGGGGTGGAGGAACACTAATGGTAGCAGTTTACCATTACCCTGTTGCTTTTTGTTTCATCTTCAAACCACTTGATATAAAGAGCATCTGAATCGACCCCGTTTGATAATTCAAACCAGGGGGAAGGCAAATAGAAGAGCTACTAGAAACAGAAAGAAGCTAGCAAGCTAGGTAAAGAACAATGTCCAGTATCCAGAAGGTGCCTAATGTTTACAGAAGTTCCCGCCTGACTACAACTTAAGCAGCCTTATGAAAATGCTGGGTTAATAGCCTCGCAATCTCTAGAAAACCAACCTTGTCCTTGCCATCAAATATAGTTTTCAACTTGTCGTCACAATGTATCTCTCTCTTGTTTGTGGGATTCTGCAAGCCGCGAAGTTACAATCACCAAGTCAGTGTAACCATGAAAGAGAAGTACCATTAAACAAAAAAGAAGGGAAAATCACAATCAGTTAGCAGTGATCAAATTGACAAATTCAATTTCTTCTCGCACACATCAGATATCTCTTGGATTGAGTTGAGTCCATAGATAAGAAAGGCCAAATGCCATTTTTAATACCAGTGGTATTTGGGCCAACTTGCACACAATTCGACTACTCCACCAGGTACCTACTACCTCCCACCAACATGGGTACCGGCCACCGGGTAACCCTATCAGCCAAGGTTTAGACAGATGCCAAGAAACCACCCAACACTTTGGTCTCTGCTAAGATTTGAATCTTGATTTGCCATGTTTTTCACCTACTTTATCGACCACTAGGTCATAGCCTTGGATGCAAATGCCTAAGGTAACTTTCTGTATTTAATTCTCTTCAGGGGGAAAGGGCAGTTAAATATCGATACTTTGATGAACCATGGGAGTCATCTGGACATATTTACTGAAGCAAGTACCAGGAAAAAAAGAAAAACCCCTCTTCAGGGTCTAAGTGAAATGTTCTGCACTAACAGCTTTATTCCTTTCTAGGCCGTACAAAGTGTTAAAATAGTTTGAAAACTTGGTGATAAGTGATAACAAAAAGTAGGATATCATAGTATTAGTATCATTGGAGCTAAGCCATGAGCATTCTAGCTCTTCATCAGATACCCCTATAGAAGTATGCTTATAAATAGAAAACAATTATAAAAGGATAGTATGTTTCACTCTTGAGAAATATTTTGAACCAGCAGAAGAAAACCTTTGATACAACTAGTTTATTCATTAATTTGCAGAGTGCTAAATCTCTAATTTGGACCAGCCACTCATGAAATCCTAAATTGACCAGCCAAAACAAGCCCAACTCTCAGTATAGTTGATAAGAACGGAAGAGTCAGGCATGGCAAAGTCACACTAGCCCAAGCAACTCCCCCAAAAAGAAGAGATGAATAATGAACAGACCAGTTCATATTGTATCTAGAGAACCTAACCCAATAGCCTCCAAAAATAACCTTAAAGCCCTAAATCTTATCAACCACCCTCGCACTCGCACTCTTGCACTCCATCTTATGAATTAACAACTTCCCTTCTTTTTTTTAAAAGGTCAACCACTTCATTCGATACTTATAGATCTTCAAACCATTCAAAGAAAAAAAAGGAAGGAAATAAAGATAAAAAGAAAAGCAAAGAAACAGATTCATCTCAAGAAGCAGGAACTATCAACTTCACTTCCACAAAATCAAAAGACGCCATCACATTTTTCATTTATATTTTGAAAATGGTACTGTAAAAATAATTTATTGATAAAAAAACGCCATCACATATCGATTTACTAGCCAAAATCAATGTCATGCCTACTGAACAACTAAACCAGCATTCTACTATCCACAAGTACTGCAAGTTTTCAGCTTCTCTTGCTAGACTATAATGCAAGTACCAAATTAAAATGTTTCTGTATAAAAAATAGAACTATAATGTCTTTACAGAAGACCATAAAATTCTCCAAGTAATTAACAGAACCACCAAAGGGATACAATGTTAGAGTGGGTCAAAGTTCCACATTGGTTGAGGAATGGACCGGTAGTCTGCTTATATGAGCTCGTTTATGGAATTGAGTTAGGTCACGATGCCATATCATTTACATGGTATCAGACGCGGGTCCTTGCTCCCGTGGGTCAAAGTTGCACATTGGTCGGGGAATGGACTGTGAGCTAACTTTTGGGATTGAATTAGGCCAGAAACAATACGAGTTGAAAACAATCATCATGAAGTAAAAAAGTGAAAACGAAAATGAATAGTGCATCAAAGCTCACCACATTCACTAATGAACTCAAAATAAATGAACAATATTCAGACCTGGAGATTATGGGTTTTAATGTATTCCCAAACTTTCTTGACCGCATCAGCGCGGGAGGATTCTTTAGTACCTAAGAAGCTTCCTAGTGCAGGGGAAACTGGTTGTGGCTTCAGTATTCCAGTAGGACGACCTCTGGCTTTGGTCACAGTGGCTGTTGCTGTCGCTGTGGTTTCTGTTGCTGCCGAAGTTTTAGCAGCAGCCATTAGAGCTCGACAGCAGTTGCCGAAAATTCGAGTCGATGACGCCATTGATTACTTTGGATTTTTCGTAAAACCCTAGGGCTGATCAAAGAGGAAAATGGGGGGTTTTGGAAAGAAGGTCAAAGTGGTAATTCGTTTGGGAGAGTCAAATGATATTTTGAATCCTTACCTCTTTCTTTTTAATATACTCCCTCCGCCAACTTTTAATTGTGATGGTAAATATTGATATGCAAGAAATTGCATTTTATAGTATTTTTCATATAATTTTTGAATATTTACTTCTCTTTTTTGAAATATTGAATTAATGTAATTTAATTTGGCTTTGAAAATTAGTCTAATTGACTTTCGAAAAGCGTAACATAACAATTAAAAGTGGACAGAGGGAGTAATAAATATATGTTTGAAAAATAACATTACCTTTATGTAATTTGAAAGAATTTACCTTCAAAATATCTTTTTTTTTCTTACTTAATTAAATGATTATGGATGGATTTAGAAGAAGTAGAGGTAGACCTAAGAATTAATGTGAGAGGTGATTAGACAGGTTATGACACAATTACAACTTATTGAGGATATGGCCTTATATTGGAAAGTATGGAAGACTCAAATTAGGATAGAAGGTTAGTAGGTAGGAGAGTGTGTCCAATTCTAGTAAGTACGAGTGCTTTGTCTTGTTGCTTGTAGTTTCTTGTTCATCGATTCTTGTGACTATCTATTACTTCATGTAGTTTGTTTGTAGTAGTATTATGTTCCTATTTGTTGTTTTGTTACCTTCTATTGTATATTGTACGTTCATTATGTCTTTTCCTAGAGTGTTTTTGCCTTGAACCGAGAGTCTATTGGAAATAATCTCTCTCCTTCACCTCTAAGGTAGAGGTAAAGTCCGCATACACTTTACTCTCCCCAAACCCCACTGAGTGAACCTACATTGGATATGATGTTGTTGTAATGATTTATACTCATACAAATATCTAAATTTTATTTTAGACTGGGAGTAGTATTTTTAAGTGTAATACAATGTTAATACCTAAAACTTGTAAGTTTATCTTATTTAAATAATCGAATGATGACGGTTTATTCTGATTGAGCACATGATAAAGTATTTATACTTTGACATTTTTTACTCAAAATTTAGAAAGCTTTTCCACTTTCTCAAGCGATCATTACGCAAATAAGTCAATTATATAAAATATGTCATCTCATTTGATCATACACATCAGTCTCAAATCTCAATTAAAACATGCATGAGGTTTTAGTTTTACACCTTATTATGACTAATGTGTATGATTAAAAATGTGATATATTTTAAATAGTTAACTTATCATCATTTTGAAACACATATCTATATGAACACGTTATTTATGTGTTCAAATGCTTATAAAACAAATGTTCTCCTTCATAGCCTCCCTGATCAGCCTAATTTATCAACCACGCAGACATGATGCTCTGTGGAACGTTGAACTCCAAACTCATCAAGCATATGACTGTAATACCAAAAGCCCTGTGTGGCTGCAAGCTGTTAATAAGTTGATAAATGTGACTTTTGATGGAGTAAGTCCCGAATCAATCATCTCATGAAAGATGTCAATTGCTTTCTGATCATGATGTGGAAGCCATATGCAGAAATCATTGACTTCCACAAGCTGCAATAGATCTCACTGCTAAACTCCCGGAATACCTGACGAACAATGTCTAACCTGCCCACTTTTCGTCTCTATCTTCGAGAAATAGTCACTCTCAGGCAGTTGCAAATTCCAGAACTCCATAACAATTTGAAATTCTAGGACATTGACTATTTTTCAGTTACAGAAGCTACCACATTGGAAATAGCAATAACTACATGAGGGGCCAACACTTCAAATGTTGCCAATAATGTAAACTTGACTGAGAAATCAGACAACTGCAACAGTTACACTACACTCGGGTTCCCAACATTTAAGCCTAAGCGATATATCAACAACTTGTCAAATTTAATAACGAGAGAGGATAAGACAGGCAGCTAACATGGCATGCATGAATAAGTTGTTTTTCTAACTGTTCTTCCTGTAATTCATGAACTGGTTCCTACTGCAGTTGATCTACTGCTTCCAGATTGCAAGAGGCATGGAATATCTCCACTCAAAGATGATCAAGGAACAAAGTGTATCAAGGTTTCTGAGAAGTAGTGCTCAGTTCGCGGATGATATACTTTGAGGCTTTAACAGGGAGTTGCTTTTGAAGATAGCCAAGAAAAGATGTGGCGAAACATGAGGACAGAACCCACCAAAGTATGTGACAAGCTTGACAGAGTCGTCTTGACACAATGATCAAATCAACAGACTAGTTTCTCATTCGTCTGCAGGATTTTCCGCTATGTAAAGATGTTGTTAGTGATAAACTCTGATCACAGCCAAATGGATTCACCATTACCGCAAGTTTGAGTACAGTGAATCAAGGCTGGGGTATTACGGAGGTTTCCCTCCCTGGGAAATTCTGTTCTGATCCTTCACCAGTCATACATACTATTCCAACTGTTCGCTCACAAGGTGACTGAGAAAGAAGAAAGTTACACAAGTCACAGAAACAAATTCTGAATCAGCACCTGGCATGTGACACAGCTTTAGCCTGTGGAACGGCAGATAACCCACTAAGATTACCAACTGAAAAGAAGTGGATTATGTCTACTATTACTTTGGAGCAAGAGACAATCTGCAAATGTCATCAGGCTGAGGTCCTCTTTTATATAAATATATAGATGGAAACTTCATCATCAGATGCTATGGACAGACAAAAGCAACAGAAATACATATATATTCCTCCGTGGATGCATACAAACACAATGGACTTTAAGAGGGAAAAAGATCACCATACCTTTAATTCCGCAAATGCAGAGCAAGAATCAACACAATCCAAGTTATCCTCCACATGTAGGAAAATAAGAACTGTACAGAACATATGATATAACAGCATGGAGAAAGAAACTTATATTAAGCAAATGAAATGTAATCATCTTTGCCTATTCCCAGGTAAAAATAACAAGGCACTAAAAATCCTCAGAACTTGCAAAAACAATAGCTTACAAGGTATTTTTCTAATGATCTTTCGCGTAACCATTAGTTCAAAACAAACCTGAAGTAACACAATTTCTATCAAATCAAAATGCAGAAAAAAACTCCATCATTCCTAAACAAGATTCAAACTTGATTTGCTGATAATTATTGTCTCCTCATAAGCGTCATCAAGAAAGCGTAACATGGACAAACAAGTATCCATCGAAATACCCACCCAAAACAAAAAAGAACTACTTTTTCCTCTTAAGCGGCCCAGTTTTATACCCACCCTTAGTAGGTTTTCCCCAAGGTGTCAACGAACCCCTCCCATGACTTCCACTACTCTTACTCCTCCCTTCACCACCACCATGTGGATGATCCACCGGATTCATCGCCACACCACGAACAGTCGGTCTCCGTCCAAGCCACCTGGATTGTCCAGCCTTCCTCAACTTCTTCGTCCCATGTTCCGGATTCGAAACTTGCCCAATCGTCGCCCTACATTTAACATCAATCAATTTCTTCACACCAGAAGGTAACTTCACTTCACAATACTTCGTAGAAGCATTGGGTTCCGTAAGGATTTTAGCACACGTCCCAGCTGAACGAACCAATTTCCCACCTTGCCCAGGTCGCATCTCGATATTATGAATTAGGGTTCCGATTCGCATCATACCTAATGGCATACAACTTCCGATTTGGGAACTGATGTCTAATGAGAACTGATCCATCATTGATTCCAGCTCCTTCGATGGTTTCATTTTCGATATCATTGCTTCAAATGGACCTGTTACATTGTTTTAAAAAAAAAAAAAAAATTGGGTTAAATTGTAGAGATTGAGAAAGATAGAAATGAATATAGAGAAATAGAGAGTACTTGTAGAGAAAGAGCGATTGATGACATTGCGAAGAAGGAAAGATGAAGCCATTCGAGCTCTGCAAAGAGCCATTTTTTTCTTTCTTTTTTCTGCAATTCGTTTGTGTGTTCTTTGCAGTAGGGTTTAACAATAGTGAGCTTTTCTTAGGAACTAAAAAATTATTTTTTGGGACAAAATATAACTATGATTTTTTAAAAAAAAAATTAACATTATTCCAATTCTTTATATTTTATTTATGATTTCAACTAATTTTTTTTCTATCATTTTCGGTCATTTGATCAGAAAATGCATTATCATTACGTGAAGAGAATATCCGTAAAACGAAAAAAAGAACAAATATGCCTATAAATTATAGTAAATAGTATTTAATTATTAGTATTTGTTATATTTTTAAGACATTAATGTTCTTATCGTCCAAGTTTCGGGATGTATATGCCATTTATACTACGATGAGACATGTGTCTCAATCTTTTCGATATGTAGTTAATTTTTATTCATAATTAAAAAAACCTATCGAATTAATTACCATATATAACTAATGTTTACACAGAAAGAGCACTCCAAGGAATCATAACCTAAGTGTTGGTCATCCCAAACCTCATAACCAACAAGAAAAACAACTAGTTACATATTTTCTAAACTAAATTACTGCACTTCCTAATTTTCCTAGAGCCTTTTACTTGGTCTATCCTTTTAATTATCTCCTTCTTTATATGTGCAATAGCTACCTCCATATTTACATTTACTCCCTTAAATTGTTTCTAATTTCTTGTCCGCTCTTTTATGAATTGTCTCTAATATCGCTCTTTTATCTAACTTAAACATGTACGCACTTGGTCCTTGTGCACTTTGTATTCTGACCATCTTTCCAGCTCTTCTTGCATTCTCATTGTCCATCTACATTCAAAGAATAGATGATGTTGTTATCATCACACATACAACATGTTGTATCGTCTACTAGAATATGTAGCTCGTTCATTGCAAGCAAGTTACCGAATCAGTTTCTCCACAACTGCAAAAATTGGATGTGTGGAAAAAGGTTCAAGATTGTCTTTACTGGTTGGTTAGGGAAGGTAGTGGTATGTTTTCTACTAACTGCATATGGGGAAAGAAGTATAGTTCTAAATCTTGATTGTCTTTTCCTAGTGTTGGTATATAAACACCAGTGTCCACCGTAGGCAATGTGGAGGTGACTTTTGAAACGTACTTATATGTTTTGGGTCTTAAACGTAAACACACATTACTAGTTTTGTGCACATAAAAATGTCCACCATATTGGATGAACTATCTACATTTCTCGTTTTGCCTCTTTTCTATTTTTCCATTTGAAAACATGCTCCTAATTCAAATGCAAGTTGTTGTGTTTAAAGGATAAGTTTACTGCACTTTCATCCTATGAGTTAAATGACCAAAACACAACAACTGGTACGTTTCTGCTTCCCTGCAAATTTAATTGCACAGACTCTCCAAATTCCTTCATCTTCTTGTACAATTTAACCACACTGTATAAATGTTACATATCAACCTAACAATCACCCAAAAAAGTTTGGCAATATGAATTTGACCATCAAATAGTGGAGGTATTTTACGTTTGTTAGATTATTGGGAGGATCTACGCAGCTTTGTTAAATAGAATGACAAGAGTCCAGTAAGTAGCAACCTCTAACATTAGTTCTGTTGAAACAATCACATCACCTCAGTATTCAGAGTCAGAGACAAACTATATTAAAATTCGCATTCACTAAGCCCATAGGAGGAACAGAAAGGCTGGTAACAAAAGAAAACTCAGTCAAATAATCCCAAATTGATAGCCATAGGAAATGAACACTTTGCATAGACAGAGGTGCATAGAGCTAACTCCATGATTGAACTGATCACTTTGTTTTCAATGGTTTTACACGACCATTTCTTCCTTTACCTGTTTTGCATTACAAGTGGACCCTAGAGCTCTTTTTATAGGAGGAAAACATCTAGATACTAAAGCTTCATGGTCATGAATAATCAGAATGATTATGCCGCTGATGATGATGATGACGGTGATGGTGATTCTTCTTCCCGTGCTCCTTATCCTCAGGCTCAGGTGACCTTGAACGTGAACGTATGTGTCTGCTACTCCTTTTCTGATGCCTGTCATTATCATCGTCGTCTCTGTCATGATAATGGTGGAGATTCTTCTTCTTCCTACTGTGTTCCTTGTCTTCAGGCTCGGGTGAACGTCTGCGTCTGTTACTCCTTTTTTGATGCCTGTCCTTATCATCGTCTTCTCTGTCATGATAATGATGGTGATGATTCTTCTTCTTACTGCGTTCCTTATCTTCAGGCTCGGCTGAACATCCATGTCTGTTACTCTTTTTCTGATGCCTGTCTTTAACATCGTCTTTTGAGTCAAGATAATGGTGGTAATGATTTTTCTTGCTGTGATCCTTATTTTCAGGTTCGGGTGAGCTTGACCGTGAACGTCCGTGTCTGTTACTCCTTTTCTGATGCCTGTCATTATCATCATCCTTTGAGTCGTGATAATAGTGGTGATGATTCTTCTTCCTGTGATCCTTCTCTTCAGGCTCGGGTGAACCTCTCTGTCTGTTACTCCTTTTCTGACGCCTCCCACTATCATCGTCCTCTGAGTCATGATAATGGTGGTGATCATTCTTCTTCCTGTGATCCTTCTCTTCGGGCTCGGGTGAACTTGACCGTGACCGTTTCTGTCTATTATTCCTTTTCTGATGCTTGTCATTATCATCGTCCTTTGAGTCATGATAATGGTGGTGATTCTTCTTCTTCCTGTGTTCCTTATCTTCAGGCTCGGGTGAACTTGACCGTGAACGTTTGTGTCTGTCACTCCTCTGGTACCTGTCATTATTATTGTCCTCTGAACTTGACTCAGAATGCTTTCCCCAACTTGACCGTGGATGTCTCTGTCTGTTACTTCGTCTCTGATGCCCATCAGAATCATCAGAAGACTTGGATTGCTTTAGCGACTTCTTATGCTTTTTCTTCTTCAGCGATCTTCCTCTATCATCATCCGAAGATGAACTAATCTCTTTATCATCACGTAAATCTGCTCTGGCTGGTGAAGACCGCTTTCTGTTCTTGCTTTTGCTGGACTTCTTTTTCTTCTTTGGCTTGCTTGATAAGCTGGCCAGCAAATCAGGTACATTATCCCCAGTAAGAAATCCTGCACAACAAACAGGGCATTAGGATTCAATGTACATAAAACACTACTAAAGAATTTAAGCTCAACAACTACGGCACAAAAAGAAGAATTTACCTCCATACTCATCAAATATGTCCTCAGCAACTATCTGTTGGTTGGGGTCGTCAAGTTCGAACCCACCACGTGGAGGACTGATTCCAGGCTTTTGTTTGAGCTCCCACTTCAAAGGCTGCAGGGAAGGCCGCACAACAGACAAACGAGACATTAGGATCTTTTAGTTTGGTAAAAGAAATTTACACTTTTTTTGTGGAACACATAAGAAGAGAAAGCCCCTTCCCTTGATTGTTTCAGTAGAAGAGGAGGACAAAGTATTAATGATAAAAAATCTTTTTTTTCTCTGAGCGCCTCAAAAAGTAAATTCATGAGAAAGTCAAATATTTCCCCCCTTTTTTTTTTTTATGACAAGGGAAACCCGCAGCCGCTACCCTTTGGGTGTGCATAGGGTAAAACCCCCGCTCCTATGCAATAAGCTCGCAAACCACATAGGAGAGGTACCGCACTAGGCAAGTCTGGTACGACGAGCTCGACCCAAAAGGCAAACTCCTTGCTTTTGCTGGCAAGGGGTTTCAAACTTGAGACCTCCAACATGGAAGTCCCAAGTTCAAACCACTGGGCCACCCCGAAGGGTAATATTTCCCATTTTCCTTACTTTCCGCACAATATTCATTCCTAGTTTCCAACCATAGGTTATACTACGTATCGGCTTTCTTTCAAACATTTCTCATTCAATGCCATCTGGGATTGTGAATCATGTTCATCATTTGTTTTGAAGTCATCTTCCAGTACCAGCTCCAAATGATTTATCTTAGAAAGTTCTTGGCATCACCAACTAAAGCCCAAAAATGTATACTCCGTCCATTACAATTTATATCTTTCGTTTCATTTTGGAACGTCTAAAGGTGCTTGTTCCATTTCTATACAACGTTAGCTTTGATGTGATATTCTTTTGATAAGCCATTATATTTTCTCTATCAAAATAGCATTTTTAATTATTTTATTTTAATATTATCTAACCACAATTACTAAAATATACTCCCTCCGTCCGTCCCATTTTATGTGAGGTAGTTTGACTCAGCATGGAATTTAAGAAAGAATGGAAGACTTTTAAATCTTGTGGTTCAAAATGAATGATAGAAATTTGTGTGGCTGTAAATCATTTCATTAAGGGTAAAATAAACATTTTACAGTTAAATTGTTACTTAATATAAAAATGTGTCATTCTTTTTGGGACTGACTAAAAAGGAAAGTAAGTCACATAAATTGGGACAGAGGGACTAATATAAGTCAAATTACTATCTTAACTCCGTGCATACTAAAGCTCCACTGCAACTCCAAACTATGCAAAATAGGTCAATGCATCTATCTGCAGCACAAATTCAGTCCCCTATCCTCAGGTGATCTTGTGCTAGACAAATTTCATGCAACCATAATAAGATATTGGGGGCTTGGTTTTTCCATAGAATTCCATGTAGTTCCTTTCCAATTCTCACAGGCCAGGTTCACCCCTTAATTAAGAATCTTTAAAATTAATGAGGTTTAAGACTTTGGTTTTCCAGGACAACTACACAACTCATACATTACTTCTACTCCTTTCATTTCCTTTAATTTGTTTTGATGAGCTTGTGGAAAAAATGTAGGTACCCAACCAAAAACCTTAAGTAAATGAGCAGGGCAGATCAAGACCTTTATAAACCCTTCAAGTCGTTGAGTGCCCTAATATACCCAATGTGGGTTATCATATACTTCAACATCCTCCAGCACATGGAACTAAATCTTGAGGTTCACATGCAGACTTGATTGTAAACACACACATCCTAGAATGAGCTTCTCAAATTGGCTTTGAAAACATGTGTACATATTGATAGTAGACATATGCATGCTAGAAAGAGTGTCTCGACTTGGTTTTGGGAACGCATGAGCGGACATGAGTATCCAAC